AATGAATGGAAAAAATTATTTGCAATATCCATATATCAAAGAAAAAAACCAAAGAATATTAGCCATATATCAAAGGAGTATCGAAGATCTCTATAACACAACGAAAAAAGTAACATTCATGCTGAATTAACTCCCCTTTTTCGATGTGATTTAATTTGCGATCCTGTTTCAGAAAATGAAAACTCAGATCTGCTGGCTAAATCAAAGCTTCCAATTTAAAAATGTTGGAAATAAACATCGAGAAAAAGCAGACAACTAACATCAGCATATCGTCCTTTATAAACGATAGCAAATGCACCATGACCAATCAGATCTTTTTTTGTATATTCGAAGCCATCAAACTTTTCCATGTCTTCTCCTTTAACTCATCACGATTCCTGCAAAATCATTCCTGCCTTCAGTGAACATTCTAATAAATCATGAATTTTGCGACATTTTTCGAGTTATTCCATTACTTCTGCACAAAAACATCAAGTATTATACGTGATAATAGAGAGGGTAAATAGCAGAATATATCAAAAGGTAAGAGGAAGTCAAAGAATGTTTAAATAATATTTCATAAACTGATGATATTCAATATCGATCATAACTTCTGCTGCAGAAAAAATTATCAGATTTTATGGATTATAAGGATAAAGTGGTATCCTGGGACATAAAATGAGTACTCCATAAATTATATTGCTGTGGAAATTAAGCAAAAACGTGGTCTGCGTGTTTTTCAGTATGTTATAGTATGGGCTGAGAATGGTCTGCTTGAGAAAAAGATGAAACAAAGAGATAAACTGGGAGAGTAGAGTAACAAATTAAACAAAATCGAATATTTCAGGATGGCAATGAAAGCCAGAAATGCCATTTCAAGAAAGCGCTGCAAAACGATGGAAGAGATATGACGCATCGATGGACCGAATGGACGACCAGCAATCTGAATCAGCAGCAGCGACAGCAGCAGCTGCTGCTGCTGCATCCATTTATTTATGCAATATGCATTTTCTAATTTCATTTATCCCTTATATTTCATCCAGAAAAATAATTTCGGTTAAAAATAAATAAATGAAAAAATGAGTAGCTATCATGACCTATCCGTTCATCAATTAAATTTTCAATCCTTCACCTCACTGAAGAATCCATCATTTCTCGCATTAGGAAACAGGAAAAGGAAACAGGAAGTGGATTTCAGGAAACCTACTTAAAACTTAATACCAAATACTGAGACTAATTTTTTAAGAGTATTCCAAAAAACGTATTTCAAAATTTAAAAAGTTCAAGACTGACACTTTAAAAAGCAGTTACCACCAAAGACAACATTACTGCCTGATGCATATACTCCTTGCTCGTCTCTGATTCGTTAGCAAATTTGAATCTTGCTGATATTACTTTACACATTCTTTGGAACCGATAAGACAACCATCTAGCGTGTTGTAATCCGCAACGTGGTAAAAAGATCATATATTTTGGATGCTCTGCTGGCCGTAGTAGCACGGAAGATGTGTAACGAGAGTGGGCATGTTATCAACGCAGATTTGAAAAAACGAATTTTATTGTGCACAAAGTGACCTTGCATATAGCAGAATAATTCCCACAATGGAAATGAAAATTCTTGTAGATTGGTCACTAATAACATTAAATCAGAAATTGTTAGAATTTGCCAAAATAAGAGAATTGTTTCAAATTTGGAAAAATTAATACTAAAAAGCACCGTTTAAACGAACATACGCACTCTACAATGCCTTCACGAAATCCTGGATGCAGATTCAGCTCTACTCGAAGTAGAGCTTCGAATAGTTTTCCAACCGCACTATGAAAAGCTTACAAAATTAATTTTCTAACTGTAGAAAGAAAGAGTTCCAAAATCATTCTGTTTATACCAACTGCTAGTTCGGCTTTCAGCAGTGACTATCATAGTCTTCTAGTGATTCCAAGACAAAAGCTCAGAATTTAGTAATTCAAAGAATAGCAATATTAAAACCATCCGGTGCATAAGTACTACATCATATAATACAGGAAATTCCGCAGGACAACTTTCTACGAATAATTTCTAAACTTCCTAAAAAGACGCTTCTGAACTTCATTTCTGCAAATTTAAAACAGCAAAAAAATAGTGAAGTAGAGAAGAAAGAAGTGCTTTGAAGAAGAATGAGAATAACTAATTCATAACTATGATAAGAAATCTTTAGTTAACCCTTCAAAATGAAATGAATTAACTAAGGTCATTCAAACGAACGTTAGTGCAGAAAGAAAAAGCACATGGAAAGAAAAATGAATCAGTATGAATGAACAAATGAATGCTATTCTTCTCGAAGAGTGGACAAATAAAGATGAGAAAAATGATGCACACATTCCCCCCTCCTCCCAGCCATTTAATCAATACGCTCGTGGGATATTCTAGAATTTTACTACATATAGTAATGTCTTATGATTTGCTCCTCTCAGACCACGTTTAAAACTATTCCCTCTCGAATTCAATCATCCATTTACTAACCGAGATGAGATGCTTAAATGAGAAAATAAGAATGTGCAGAAAAATTTTACTAAACTTAAAATACAATAAAATAATTCCGCAGTTTGAGAATTTTGATGGAAATTTCAAATAAAAATTCCAGTAATGTTGAGCATTTAAAAATATCATCAATAAATGATTTTATCAACTGAGCTTACACGCAGAGGGTAAGAGGTGAGTTGTCGGAAGTTCAAATGATGCGTAAATTACAAAACCTTCAAGCATTTATTCACATTACCAATAAAGTAGCTGAATATTAATGGGAAGTAGAAGACGAATAGCTCTTCTCTTGGCTATACCTTTTGAATGCTCGAATAAGCATAGAAAGAATGTTGGAGAAAGAAAGGAAAATAGAATGAAAGGATGTTGGAGAAGAGGAAGAATCGAAAGTGGAATTGAATTTTAAAGATGGAAAAGTAAAAGGAATGGATGGCTAATATGAAAATTGGATGGAACGAATGACGAGGGACCACAATCGACATAACTAGTGGACAGGGACATGAGGAAAATACAAGTGATCGTGAACGGTGAACAATGGAAAGGGAAAGAATTGTATGTGGAAGAAGATAAAGGACAAGGTAGAGTGAGGAATAAATACACCTCAACTCTCAGCTCACCTTCCTTCCGTCATTCATTCCCTATTCGATTATCAGCTAAGCAATCTTCCTCTAAGACATCGCTTGACAGATATATAGCACTACTGCACTACTGATCACAGCCATAGCAGAAAAAAGGGATCCAGTTTAGAAGGAACACTTAACTACAGCAGCAGCAACAGCATCTTGTGAGCAGCACTCACAGTTATCTCGAAATGCTTCAATTTCTGCTGCGGAACATCATGAATGAGTGAGTGAAACGATGTAACAGGGTCAACAATGAGAACAACAAATCCACATTACACCATCCACGGCAATGTAATTTAAATGTGATCAGATATACAATACAGTACTGCCATTTCTAGTACAATCGAAAAGGCTGTACAAATAGTCACTCTTCCTTAGTGAAAAATGTGGCATAAATTTATACTATTTGGATCTCTTTCGCAAACACGACTTATTAGTGAATTTGTTGAACTTTTTTTCAATTACCCCAGGTAAAATGAAATCATGTGTTTTTTTTCGGAAACAGTAAAGTGTTTCGGAAACACTCTATTCTCCCGATTTTTTTCGATATTTGTTGAAGAGCCGATTCACTTCAAATCTACTATAATTCAGGGCAATAAATAAATTAACGTCTGCAAAAAGTATGCCACAAATTACTTAAAATTAAGATTTTCGATGAGTATGCTAACATTATCACAAAAAGAAAGTTTCAAATTATGTAAAATGTTATCAAAATGTTTATCCTTTGCTTCACTTTTCTCATCAATCTGTTCCAAATAGAACAATCCAGAAGCAAAACATGAAAGAGAAAAGGTAGAAGAGCAAAACTTATAAATGAAACGAATATTTTGTATGACAGAGTAGCCATGGATGGCAATGCACACACATATGAAAAAGATATGCAAAAAATGAGATATACGAAGCGAAATAAACGGAAGGAGCCCAAATCAATAGCTGTGCAATACTTCAACAAAATAAAGAAAATATTGGAAATGTTGAGAATCATTGCTTCTAGCAACACTGAGGATTCTTTCTATTAACATTTGTTAAATAAAAAAAACACAATCACACGATTTACAGACACGGACATCATTGTAAACGGGACAATAGAATGTTTAACAAGTTTAAATTAGCTGCAGAGTGCAGCTGAAGAATAAATTCATTCCCATGTCAAGAATTGATCAAATCGAGAGCTCATAAGAATTATATTGTACTGAATGAAAGTTCAAAAGAGTCTCAAACAACATCGATATCTATTCTATTCATCCCAATCACATGTAATGCTCAAAAAGCTCGAAAGTCCTTTTCGTTTCAACAAGCACTCCCATGACCTTCCCTCTTTCATAACTCAACCCCTACATGACCTTCCCTCTTTTATAATTCATAAAGCCAATATCGGGAAATCAATGCATAATCTAAATAAGTCATTTAGTGAATATAACTTTATCTCACACCATCAACACCAATAATGAAAAATTTATTGACATATATTTTAAATGTGTATGCACATTTACAGAATGAAAAGTTGTTAAAGATATAGCTATAACACTGGGATCTTTTCGCTCAGAATGTTGCAAACGACGTCATTGGCTGGATCTCATATGAATGACTAACACTATCAATACAAATGATAACATCAACGAGATCTTGGCAGCAACGTATATAAGTTACAATGAAAATGTTAACAATTGCGTGTGTTAAACAACTGTTCAAACATTCAAACTGACTAAATCATCTTTCTTAACTTTAACCAAAGCCATAAAACTTCGACATGTAACGTCTCTAAGACAGAAATAGCAATATCCAGAAAGGTAACATGAAATTGGAACCCTTTCAGAACGCCTTGAAAACGTCTCTCTGAAAGGAAGAAAAGATACAAAGATTATCAAACTGATAAGAAATCAATTAATTGCTTGAACATAATTTCCCGGAAACAATCCAGTACATCCATTAAGTACACCCTCGTACCAACCATCTTCATTCTTCCGTAAAACGTAAACGATACAGTTTTCTCTAAGAGTTAATTCATCCGGTTTTTCTGCTTCGTAATCGTACAGTGCAACTGCTGAAAATGCGTTTCAGCATAATGATTTAACACTTATTTATTTCGAGCTTTCTATTTTAATAAAATCTTTCTGTATTAATATTATATTAAAATAATTCATTTCAAAGATAAAAAATGAATAGTTATCCTCTCAACATCTCAGTTTTGTCAAAACAAGCGTTTTCTAATCATAGCTGTTTCTTTTTTTGATATAAACTTTGCACACCTTTCTCGATATAAACTTTTGGAATCCAGTCATACGAACGATCAAACGGAGATCCTAGTAGAAAAGGCGAACGGCCGTTAGCAGATGATGTGGAATGATTTTTTGATGATGCTGACTCATAAATCGGTATCACTGCAGCCTTTATCGGGGGAGGTGGTAATGGTTCATCGTCCATCATTACAGAAGTGGGTGGTGGTGGAAGTCCATCTATAAAACGAAAACAAACTTGGAAAGCAAAATCAACTGACAAAAATTACTGAACTAAAAAGCATCATTTATTTTCAAGTGCATATTAAATTAATATCAAAGACCTACCTAAACTATTTGCTGATAGCCTGTATTGAGCTACCGGCGCCAACTGAGGGGGAGGAAGAGGCATAGACTGTTGTGAATCCCTTTTTCTATTTATGGTACCGTAATTTGATGTATTTGGAGGACTATTATGATTTTGACTTCCATGTGTAACAGTAGAAAATCTTTGAGGATCTATGACCGGAGTAGTAGCTATTTGCGGCGTACGATAATGATCTCCACGTGTTGTCGATGAGCGGGAAAGCTAAAACAAATGCCGATCACAGCAGTTTAGCTAGTTCTTACTAATACATGCGTTATCCACTCCACAACTTTTAATATAGTGAAACAGATAGACAAACCCTTCCGATTAGCATTAGTTTGATACTGAATTTGAAGCAAGACTGCTTAATTTGGAAAATCAATAGTGCCAGGTAACCCAATATGTTAATGTTATCAGCTATCAAACTTGCATAATAAAAGACTGGCCAGATGTGCCGTTGGTGAGAACCGTGTCTGCCAGAAGAACCACAAGATATATTTGCTAAACATTTGAACTGCTCAAACGCTAAACCTGTCTCATCGTTCTAAAAAACCAGAAAAAAATACCGTAGCAGTGATATTTGCTTTTGGCAGTAATTGTTCAAAATTAGGGAAAACTGGATAATGTGCACTAGTGTTTCCATGAGATATGGTCGAGGCTGTACGCATTGCAAATGAACGATTAACTAGCTCAGGAGTTTTGACACCATGTCCCAAATTATCCAGTACCGAATAATCGATTGGAGTACGTTGGTAACGTTGAAGAGGTTCCTTAAGGCAGTAAGTTTTAATTTAACAAGCATTGAAGTCATAACATAACCGAAACTTCGATAACTGAATAACCTGGACTCCAACTGCAATAACTTTGTGCTGTCTCTGGATACATTTGTTTATTGCTAATAGTCCGATTTCACGCCTCGCTACTTTCTCTTTATGAATTGCAATGATTTCTCCCACGTTATGAACCTAATAAAATCTTTCTATATTAATATTATAGTAAAATAATTCATTTCAAAGGTAAAAAATGAATAGTTATCCTCTCAACGTCTCAGTTTTTAGATATCGAGTCTGAAACTATGTATGACGAAAACAAAAGCCAGAAAAATTTTCCTTTAGAACTTTAAGCTGCTGTCAGGTAAATAAATAATTTTTGCAATTCATATTTGAATTGTTACTTTCCAATCAATAATTACTATTTCACTCAAATCTAGAAGTGAAAAGAGTTTGCAAGTCAATGAAGTGACAAATTTCATTTGTTCCAGTGTGGAAAAGCACACTAGAATTCCGAGGAAGTTATTTCCTGTATAACTTGAAAAATATTAAACTAAATATTTAAAATGAACTTTTCAGAGTATGAGCGAACAAAAATGCACCTGCGATGCCATGTTATTGATTTTATCAGTTTGCAAATCGAGCGCATGTAGCAGAGCATAAGCCAAAGTATTTACTTGATATGCTACACTAGCAAGACTTTGCACTACATATCGTCTCGTTTCATCAAATGCCGCTTTTTTATCTTGTGCCTGAAAATAAATACTGCTATAAAGTTACTGTATCTTAAGGTGCTTCTCGGATCCGAGATCGAAAAAAGAAACATTTGCATATAACAGTCCTTTTAATTTCTATTTCTTTGCTGACTAATAAAATGTAAGACAATCAGTCTTTTCAAAGACTAAATCTATCCATTATATGGTATTTGGAGAAAAAGTCTCCAAATCATTCTCAAATAAATATCAACTTCATGCTATGCAAACTGCTGAAAAGGATACTTCAATAATCTAATTTTTTTTCTTTTGAAGCAAGTCGACTTATTAGAGAGTAAATTTGCTTAAAGTCAATAAGGTCAATATCAAAATAAGGTCAATTTGTATTATACAAAGAAGCAACAGTACCTGTGCATAATTTGCTTCACAGTAAGCAGCGACCCGTTCCAAATTTGAACAACTGCTTTCCAGACTCGCTCTGCCATCCGGAATCTCGTTTTCAATTAGGCTACGCAGCGTAACAGCATCTTCAGGCCCGTCCACCATTACTGTAAATATAAATGTTGACTGAGTTATACTTGTTGAAACCAAAGAATAAGCATGAGTCGTGCTCTTTTCACAGCTACATCCCAAGAATAAAGATCACTAATGAAGCATATCGGAAAGTACAACCAATTTCTAGCCGCCCACCACCATACAAACAATGTTCAGGTAGAAACTAAACTTACCTTTCCTCTCTCTCTAACAAAACATACCGAGAATAAAAAGAATTACACATTTCTCCACTCTCTTCCATAAATTCCACTGCAGAACTCAATCTCTCTCTCCTCCTCCTTCACTATCCTTCAACATCCATCTTTCTCATACCATCATTCTTTATTTTTAACTCTCATCATACTATCTATCATTATCTTCAAATACCTCCTCCATCTCTGAATGAGATTTGTTGAATATCAATCATCCCTCCCATCTCCTACTAATCGGTGTTATTTTTTTCCTCTAACTCCCTGTCACGATATCTGTAACCTCATGGAAAACTCCTTCACCTTTTTTTGTTATTCTCTCTTTCTCCCTTCATAAAATGAGACTTCAGATATCTCTTTCTTCTTTTCTGCTTGGATCTGCAAAAAGACAACGGGAAGAGCCTCTCCTCAAAGCATTCTTCCATGGCCAACAAACATACTTTAAGTTTGCCGAAATGCAGCCAGCAATGAGCCTAATCAATTACTGAAACGTCAGCGACAAAAAAATGAAGAGACAATGGACAGAATTCACTTCCATACGCATTATACCATTCCGCACCGTACGTCAACTCCGGAATGCTCACGAAATCTACTTAGACAAATCTTTTTATACGGAAAAAATACAACTTAATTACTTAATAATGTAATAATAGTAATTTATGCAATGAATTTGGCTGCTGGAAACCCGCAAAGATATTTCCACAAAGTGTAACATGCAATGAATGATGACCAATTCTTTATTCATGAAATCATTTCTACTAGAGGTTCGAGAAATTATTAAAACTTTGTTCTTCTGAAATTTTTCGGAAAATTCGCCCGGAATTTAATGGCCAAAAATGAATAGATCCATAAAAAATTTGTTGAAAGCATTCGTAACTTAGTGAGAATAATCCTCGACTCGATTCGATACTCTCGCATAACAAAAATGACTAAATGTAACACGGGAATGAAAAGATGTCCAAAAAACTCTCATTAATTTAACTCCTACGAAACTTGCTTTCTTTATGGATGGCAAAATCGAAATAACATTTTGTTGTAACTCTGTCCCATAAATTTTAAAACATTACCTTGTAAGAAACTATTAACAAAATTTACAAAAATTGATGAAATCCTTAACTAATTCTTTGATCAATCAACTTAATGATCATTTCAATTTTGCAGCATTGTAATGCAATTTTGCAGTACCACATGTAACAGTGTTTCTTATATAGTGCAGTTATATAACGCGGCTATGCAGCATTTTTATCCTTCCTTCGTCATCCATACCCTTCCGTCTACAAGTCGTTTTCTTGGAGAAAATATTCAGTTATATGGGTAAAGTCCTTGTGAAGCATTGTTAGAATCCGAACTTTGAGTTACATTTCATTCGTAGAATTCATTTGGAATGGAATTTATCAATTCATTGACTTCTCTGTCCATCCTTTCCATTTTCTTATAATTCATTACGCTCATTTTGATATAAGCTTCTAAACTCTTATTCATATCAAGATAAGTCTATTAGCTTCTTAATTTCAGTCATATGGCTAAATTTTCAGTCATATTTTTAAATTTTCAATCATATTTTCTAAGCTTTTTCACTTCTCTTTTTAATAAGAGGCACGAACATAGTGCTAGAAGTTTCTATACATTTTTTTTTTTAATTTTTAAAAAATAATTATTTTTTTACGCGTTTCAATCTTTCGCAATTAATCAATACTGGAACACCGCGGAGCATATTAAAAACACCTGCTTGTGAGTGATGTAATTGCACTTGGGAGGAAGTTAATTTAATGGAGAATCAATTTACTGAAGCGAAAAACTGAAGTTTACTTCATTGGCAGAACTAATTATTTCAGGCAAAACTAAAACAAAGCAGTCTATGAAACTTGTAAACTATCTTCTATCAGTGTACATGCTAATTAGTTTATGAATTGATCAACGTATCAGTTCAATCGAAAATAGTTTCATCTCGATTATCTTTATACGTATGATATCTTTAACATGCATTTAACATTCATATATTAAATTCGAAGGAAATTTATCGTATCCAATGCCATAAATAACACAACAAGGAGCTTGAAATTTACAATAATTTACGCTGTTAACAAAAATTTTACTTGGATTATTCTTTTGGTCTTGATAAAGTGCAATTACATCACTCAATTACATCATAAAATTGCACTAATATTCTCGTGTAAATGCGATTCGAGCTATTTGTTGGAAGCCGCTCAGAATACCTTGTAAGTATCATTCCATTCACTCGCACTCCAATATCCGGCTTCATGGATATTTTTATGAGATTTGTACCAAATGAAATTTGCTGTTGGGTGCGGTACTCTCCAGTTACCGTAGTCCGCCTGAAGTTGGTAGAATCTTTCATAGTTTTCGATTATATTCACTTATACTATGCTTCAGTCAGCTCATGAGTCAATAAAAAACACTATGAAAATTGAGAAATGAGAATAAGAAGTATTAAGCTAAATTTCAAATCCACATGACTTTTTAAAAGTGGATTAATGATTACTCCTGGACTTCATAATCTGCTCCCTTCCTGGTTTAGTTTGCATATAACAAAAAATTTGTTAGTATACCTTCAGTATTTCCTCAACATTGCAAGGCACATGAAATAATCTTCCCAGCAAATCTCCTGTACAAATCTGTGAAATCAGTGGATAAATCCAGCGAAGTTTCTTCTTTTCGCTGACCAACATTCCACCGACCCAGGTAAAATTCTCGGTTTCATATAGGAAAAATAAATCAATTTTGATGTTCGCCGAATAAACGCTCACTTCTAATGAATCGTTAACCTAAACAATTTTAATTTTCATTTTTGGCGAACATATAATTGAACTAAATGAGGCGGATAAAACTTTAACTAGCTTCTTAATTAACTATTAAGACTAATCAGTAACATTCTTTTAATCATGATAAAGAGAATCTTGTTTAATTATGCAAGCAAAACAAACTTTTCCGAGGATCCAAAAGAGTTTGAAATCATTCGACTTCTCTATACTTTTTAACATCCTTAGATCCAGGGAAGTAATTTTCATTGCCATATCAATATCCGTAGTATCTTTGATAAATGAACATTCCCTATACCAACCTGATATAAGTTATTCTATACTGAACTGAATGAATTCTAGATCAGTGAAATAAGTAAGCTGATATAGAAAACGATAAAGTGACAGGATTTTTCAGGATAACGATGATTTTTGTCAGTTTGCTACTTGGTGACATTAACTTTTCTGCGATGTTTTATGATAAAGAAGGAAGTGAGAACGAAGTGAGAAGGCATACGGCTAGATTTTGAAAAAAAATCGAGCTGTATGCTTTCTCACTTTATTTCGTAATCTTATTAATAACTGAATTTAACATGGTAACGCTTACGTCACTGGAATGAATAAAAAAGTGAAATTGAACACAATCTTAAGAACATTTAAAAACGAATTTAAAGAAGACCAAGAAGAGTGCCGCCAAAAAGAAACGGTGTCGCTGTATAGGATTCGAGAAAATCTCGAAATTTAGCCATATTATTGACATAACTATCAGGAATCATGGATTCATCCCAGCTATTCGAAATATTCAGCCTGATGCAATCGAGAAATCTTCCGTTGCTCCACTTCTGAAGGAATTCTTCTCTGTTTGTCGGCATCCACATCTCTCGTTCAAATATATGCTTCTTAACTGCGCATAGACTAAAAACAATTTATTTATTCGTGATCTTTTAACATAACAAAGATTATTCATTCACTTTAATCTTTCGTCCAATGTTCAGATAAGTTCCCAACTGAGAGGCACAGATAAGCTACCAACACATTTCAAGAATTACTCCTTCCATACTTTAATCTCTCATTTACTGTTATCATCATTATTTGGTCTTCCTAAATGAATTATAATAATATCCTTCTTTTATCAATTTTTCTGCATATAACATTTTTCAATTCTAAACCATTTTGTAACGTCTTCGCAGACTGTACATTTCAATACAAAAAATTTATTTCAAACCAGCAAACCGATAGTTTCTAATTCTCTGAAAGAACAGAAAGCAGAAGTGCTAAAAGTGTACCCATAAATAGCTCGCAGATCTTTATCCCACATAAATTTTATGTAATCTTCATTTGACGAAGTTATCATTCGATAGATAATAATATTACTAAATGATACCGCATTTTCTGAATCATCATATGTACCGAAGACGTATTTATTAGGAATGATATCAGGAAGCCAAAATAGATGATCGAATTGTTTCAAATACTCCAATTCTTGCTTTTCCTGAAAGAAAATTAACTTAAAAAATTGTAATTGACCGGAATTGATTGTCTTTTTCATATGTCATTCCATAAAATAAACCGGAAGAATTTCAGCAAATGAATGGAAGAAAAAACAGAATTTAAAAAATTCATACCAAATGTAAATCGCCATCAGTGATATTGGAATAATTGTCATTTGCAGCAGTATATTTGGGCCAAATTTGTATATTGTTTTTAATATATTGAAAGTGATAAATTATTCCCATTAGTGCAATTATTGTAATAAAAATATGAAAGCAAAAATATCTGACTTTCACTAATATCATTATTCACCGTAATGAAACAATCCTGAAAACGAATGATAAATATTATGAAGAAAATTATCAATACCACTGCATTCCTTATTAACTGTTGAAAATGCATTTGCATGATTTCACATCTTACCACAGAAACTTTCAACATGCCAAATGTTAAAGTTAAATGATTAATTCTCTCCCGAAGTATTCTGTGAGAAATAATTAATCAATTAGTTGCATTCATTAAATAATCTTATAATTAAAATTCTCCCTTAAAAATTAATACTTCTAACATATTTAATTCAATAGTTTATAATTATCTAGCAGTTTTTTTAGACATTTCTTCTTTCATGATTTGAATTTCATAACTGAACGGATACATATTATTTCGAAAAATGTATTTAACAACAATATCATAGCACTCTACCGGTTATTTAAATGAACAGATTATTATTCTATTGGAATAATTAAGTTCAGCATAACTTAAGGGTAACATTAATGACACTATGATATTTCGTTTTTTTTTCTTGTATTTTGGTAGTGATAGGTATATAGCAGAGCAGGAAATTTTACGCCGCAAAAGGCCTGTTTTCTCATACGGACCTCAATCTTGTAGGCCTGTAGGAAATTTCCCCTCTATTCTCTCTACTATTTTTATCATTTGAGAGGATAGAATGGAGCAAAGTCAGATGTTGACCAATATATGTTACATTTGCATGCTGTGGAATTAATGGTCATCTGACCAGGTGACTGATACTGACGAAATGCTCTCTATCCTTTGTTAGAAATTTGGTCACGTAGGAGAGAGAAGTTGTACTGAATAATTAGATAATTTAACGAGGTAAAGAGAATCTGACACTCACAATTGACATCATGAATTTTGACATTCTGATAGAAAAACAAAAATATCAGTTAAAATCAATGAAGAATACAAGCCATATCCTTCACATCTTCCAAATAAATTTCAGTTTGAAAACTTGATTAATGTACGCTCCAGAAGAAATAACACTGTTGCTAAGTAACGAATAGAAGACGATTTAAAGTAAATACACTTAAACAGCAAATGTAAGATGAAAAGCTGAAATGAAGCTGCGGTTAATTAACACTGATAAGAAGCGATAAATGAAGTAAGTTCGACAAAAACGACGAATAGATTCTGATCGAAGCTCATATTTTATTAGAATACAAAAAAGAATTAAGAAAGCAAATTTTATTGAGATTTTCTAACAAAATTTATCATTATCAAGCAGACCCACAATTGTATGCAAACTACAAAACAAATGAAAGCAATGAGAGGAAGAGAGGAGCGTGAAAGTCAAAATACAGATCATACAATATGCAGTAACCTAATGAAGAAGACATTATCATCATTGCTAACAAAAGATCAGACCTATAAGGCAAAATTTGTTATTCCGTGTCCCTCAAATAGTGTTTTATTGTTATCACAAAATGATGACAGATATCGATCCCTATAATGATGCAAGCACATATACACGCATACAATATGTCTTAAAGCGCTTATACGCATTTGCATATTATAGAAAGAGAATCTGAAATGGAAAAGCAAAAGATTGGAAAAAGTTCAGACAATCATGAAAAAAAATATCATTGGAAAATTAACATTTGGAAATATATTTTAGGCTGACTGTAATTTTATGATAATTTTCTGAATAGCTCATTTGCATAAAAAAAAATTTTATCAATAGCCGTTTTATTCGTTTAAATATTTCATTCATATTATTATATTGAGCTAGTTAATGATCATAGATGAAAACTTGTGGAGCTCTTTCTTGCTCTTTCTTGCTACATGAACTCGAAGTAATTTAAATTTTGGACTTGAATAATTAAAAGAATATTAGTGCTGTGATTTATTGATGTAATGTAATAGGAATAAAATTCCATACAGTTCTATTACTTAATAAGAAGCGCTATTTCAAGTCATAACTATTTACTGATTGAAGTTTGCGTTTTGTAGATTAACATTTTTTTCATTTAATTTAAGAAACCATTTATCTGTTTTAGATAATTTGATTTTTGTTCAATTTTTTTCTGTTTTTTTTTGCGGATAATAATTGAGAAGTAAAATGAGTAGTCATTATTTTAAAATTTACGAATGATTTATCAAAAACAAATATTCAAAAACAAATTATGATTGAGAAAGAATGCACGAAGAAATTAAAAATACTGTCAAAAAAATTAATGTTACCTGTTGATGATATTTTATTCTTAAGGTATAAAAGTTAAAGATAATTATGCTCAGTAGCAATTATTATTTATTTTATTCTGCTTACAATTGTCCACTCAATATAATATTTAGCAATCAAATTACAGTCTATTATGACTCAACATAGGTCACAATTTGGAATTCAATTAAATTCATTTATTTTCAGGAAATAAAGAAATTTTGCTATAAATTTCTGATTATGAAACCATTTGTTTTAGTAATAAATTGCATTTATATTATAGTTTTTAATTTTTTTTAAAGCTTCATGGGCATCCACGAGAAATGAATACACTGTAATTCGAAAGCTAAAAGATTTGGACTATTTTTTTAAATATATGATTTCATTGACGAATATTCTATCGGTATTGGAGTTCAAGAAAATATATAGAATAAGGTATGTCAAGCTTAGATAAAAACTGAGTTGAATTAAAGTTAAATGAAATTCTTCTTCTTTCATCTTTGAAATTCCCAAAAATGAAAAAAAAAACGTGTTAATTTTTGATAGATTCATATGCAATACAAATACGAGATATGGATAAGATAGTCCAATAGTTTATTAAAACTATCAGTTACGCAAATCACGCAATTCACGCATCTGTAGCAACAAATGTGTTTCACTGCGATTATCCAATCAAACATATAAATGGCGATTATCGTCTGCCATTTTAGAAGAGCCGTTTTCTTGCGATTTTTTCTTGGAGAAATGCATTTCTCTGCCTGCAATGATCACATATAATCTGTTAGTTTGGAAAAGGTCAAGAACAGAAACACGTTTTGAACTCATTTCGGGAATGTTATTTATCACTACCAATTACTTTTCTACTTTGCTATCTGTCCAGTTATTAGATTTTACAGGATTTATAGATAACCTAAGTTGCAGGCGTTATTGTACTCAAAATATTGTCATAAGGCTACCACCAAATTGTTTTCTTTTATCCAACGATCATAGATGATTTGAACTGTAAGATGTGAGTTCATAACATTGATAACAGTTTTCCTGATTCGCCTATAACTTTTCCTGATTCACCTATTTGAATCATTCGGAGAATATGTTATTTTATCACTAATTGCTACTGATAACTTCAGACGGACTAATTCGATTAAACTACGCAAGAAAAATTTCAGTTATGGTGATGTTAAAATTTTTTTATTAAAGTATAGAATAAATAATTTCTTTCTTTCTTTCCATCTATCCAACCTCTCAAAAAAAAAGTGAAAGATAGCCTTTCTTATAAACTCCTCCGCGATTTTCCAGTCAGTCCACGCAGACAAAAACTGAGAGATATTTCTAACTGCAGAAAACTTGAAAAATGAAGAAATTCTGTGAATAGTACGAAGAATTGGAAATTTTAATGATTTTTTATCGAATAAAATTAATCTCTAGGTGCTTTTTTAAAAATTTATTTGAAGAATTCAAAATATCTTTCAAACGAACTTTTAATTTTATTTTTACAAATATTTCTAGCAATTATCTTGAATTTTTCTAATGTTACAACTGCAAATGTATTGAAAATCTCCTGCAGTGTGAGATCAAAATCAAATTTTGAGTTATTAATAGTGAACACATGAAGGAATTGGGGGTAATGTCTTCAGTAATAATAATAGTAAGTCAGGTATTGACAGTGTGATGTGATGCAATGAATTGATGGATCAATCTGATAATGAAGATGGAATCAAATCTGGATTAGTCTGATAATATGGGAAGACACTGAAGTGTCAACAAAAGTTCTATAATTTGATGCACTTTATCGACAGTTACTTTTCATCCGAATCAGTGGGTAGATAAAAGCTATTATAGCTTATGTAATAGCTTTTGTAGATATTAATATAAGTTCGTATTAAATTTGTAGTTTGAATTGGACTGAGTACTTTTTTTAGACATAAAAATAAAATCGAAAGGAATGTGATCAGGCATAAAATGAGGATTTCCTTGCATGCAAATTTTAGCATTAACATATGGATATGGACTTGAAGAGTAACTGCACGAAATAATATTTCTGTTTTTCCCTAATAATTCAGCATTAAGCAAAAAAGCGAAAGATGACTCACTGGATAGTTTCAAAAGGTAAAAGAAAGGAAACAGAAGAAAGAGTAATGATTCATCGATAATTTCATATCCTATTGTCAGTAAAATATTGTTTAATTTATAATTTTTGAAACCAACTTTCGAATTACAGGCAAAAACAAAAACCAACACATCCATATTAATAAATCAAAACGAATACGAGGATATGCTCTACGAGAAAAAACAGCTAAATAAACAATAAAATAAAAAAAAACTTATATCAAAAAACACCCTAGGAGCCAAACACCTAAAATATAATAAATTACAATCAGAATAATCCAAAACAAAGTTATATGAAGGTTCAAAAAGTGAAAAAGCTAAGCTGATTAAAACGAAAATCCATTTGTTCTGCCTTTTACCTGAAAAAGATAAAGAAAAAAACGATATGTTTTTTATTTCTTATATATGTATAACATTATTAAATATTTGACCTTCATATAACGAAGTAATAATTAGCAAAGTAATAATTAATTTATCTTATGAAGATGAACGAAGTTAAAGCATTTTACTTCCGCTGATAACTTTGCGACAGACGTCAAAATCGTAGACAGATTACGTAGACCACGTAAAATTAAAAATCAAAACTTTTGCGTCCATTTTGAATATTAGAAATAATAGCTATAAATAATTTTTGCATATCAATGTAAGAGGAAAATTGTTTACTTAAAATTTCACAGAAATGAAAACTTTAAGAAAACGGAAAAAAGCACGAAATATTTTGATTTATATAATGCATCGACTAAATGATTTCTATTGAGAAAACAATAAGTTTAAAATCGATTCTTCTTATGCGCTCAGTAAAGTGATTGAAATGATTAAATTTGCAAGATAATGCAAATAATTTCCTTCTAAAAGTCTGAATGTTAACTATGATCTGATAATTTAGGCCTTTTAGTCTAATTTGAAATCAATTCTTAATTTGAGCTCTGCAGCAGAAGCTGCTGAAGAGCCAAGAAGATAATGATTTAAAAAAATAGAATCAGCATCTTATCCTTCCAGTGTAGGGCCTAAGGTTCATTTATTTTTAATCATTTCACAGAGGACTTCTTTGGTTTATTAAGAAAATAAACGTCATTTTGTTTGCTGCATTATATGAAAGACATCAAGAAGCTTCAAATGGAAAAGGAATCAAAATATGTCGAATTTTTAAGGGAAAATTCAAGAATCGCTGTCAGAAAGCAAGAAGATAACAATTCTTGTGCTACGTTAGAAGTCGGTAAATTTGTGCATGCAATTCTAAAATAACAAGCATTTTTAAAAATTTTGTTTTCCTTTCTTCCTTATATTTTTCATTCGGCTTCTTTTTTTATCATCTGAAAAACTTTTCATTGCTCGATTAAAATCAACATTATAAAGCAAAAAGGAAAAAAAAACGTCTAATTTTCACTTCAATTTTTCTTCCTCTTTCATTCATCATACTTTTTCAATATTTGTTTGTTTGCTTTATAAAATGAAAGGAAATAAGCGATGCTATCACGACATCGAAATAGAATTATATATAAGAGGATTATGTGTGCTTCGATTCGTTCATAGTAATTAATGCAGAATTGAATTAAATTCAATCGAATATAAATTATATTTTATATTTGTTACATTGCAATTTAAAACTGTCATTTTGACTTGTACAAGCATTAAATTATGCATATTATCTGTTGATAACATTTTCTCAACTTTCTAGCAATATTAGAAGGCTAGAACAGAGAAAAAATCTGATATGACTTCATCTGTTAGACAACTAAAATAAACCAAGCATTTTTAGTTGCCAAATAATTTCTAATCCATCAGTTCTATCAATTCTATTTCATGCATTCGTTATCATTCTTTGATCGCTCCCATCATAAGAAATTTTTTTAAGAGATACAGAAGTTGAATTAATCACACTGATAATTTGGATCAAATATCCATATATCTTATAATCGGATATTGTGTCAATTTCTTTCAGTTCATTTCGAAATTCTCAAAAATTAGCCCAAATACCTTCTATTACTTTTCGCCCTATTTCTCGCCCTTCTAAAAATGTAACTCTCCCTGCATATGGTGAAGACTGAATTGAAGGAATTTAAAATTTAAAATGTTATTGCCAAAATGTTTCTTTGTACCAGTTATTGAATTCAAAATCAGTGGCAATTATGTTGAAAACAATAGAAGTGTGTCTTGTTCGAGAAATTTTCAATACATTTTCAGAAAAGAATTTCAAAAAGTCTTATATTGTGTTACATTTTGAAATATGAGAAGAAAAAAAACTAATTCCATTCAATAGGATCTAAAAATAAAATATGATGAAAATCGGAAAGATGACCGGAAAAGTCAACAGAAATTAGTTTGGAAGTGTTTTCGAACGGACAGCATAAACATAACTCATGGGACTCTTATCACCATTTCCAGGAATGAGAGTTAAGAACTAAATTCCAGACAACATCATTCTTAACTAAAAATGAATTATAGGAAATTAATGTATTAAAACTATATCGAAAGATTCAAAAGCTTTCTGTATTAGTGTTCAAAAGGTTCGAACATTTTGATAGAAATATAAATTACCTTTCCATTATATAAATTTCGAGGCAACCGATAATAAGGAAACTTCAGGATGTAAATTTTGGATTGTTCGTAAAAATGCAAATCCGTCTGTGCTTGATTATCCATCCAGTTCTGCATAATCCCCATTGTTCATCGTCGAGTTACATATTTTCAGGGACAAACAAGAATCAATACACAATTTTAATTTCCTAATTGCTATTATTTAATATTAACTGAAATGAACTAAGTGACTAATAATCTCATAATATTTATTTACAATAATATCTATTGGTTACAAGAATATCTATCGTTCGTTTATCATAATACAAAGATTACACATTTGTTATTACTTTTAAAAATAAACACGTTTTATAAGAATAAAACATCACAATCGCATTTCTAAATTAAATACCGATAGCGATCCATTGTCTTTTTTACATTTTTACATATTCAGTCAGGTGACTTTCTGAATGACGATATTCATCAAAATTACTTCTCAAAATCAATACAACAACTGTTTATGCAATAACGTTCACCAGTTTCCTTTGGTCCATCATTGAAAACATGCCCCAAATGAGCATTACACTGAAAAAATGTAAAGTTTTTTTAATTTTGAATTTCAAAACAGTACGAAATCTTGTAGTAAAAAAATGAACTACCTCCTCTTTGTTTACGAGAAGAAAAGTCAAAGCCTCATACGAAGTTTCGGTATCACTGAAGTTCTTTTATGGAATGATATATTCACCTGTTTGCACCGCACCTCAACACGTTCCATTCCCATTGAAGTATCCTTTGACCTCACTATGTTCAAATCATTGTCCACGGATTTTGAGAAAGCTGGCCAGCCGCAGCTCGAATTGAATTTAGCGTCTGATCTGAAATATAAACTAACACTTTTATAAAGCAGATTTCCTTTAATTGTTAAACTTTTATAATAAAAAACATACTTAAAAAGTTGTGCTCCACAACAGCGGCAGACATACAACCCGGTCTCGAAGTGTTTGTCAAATTTTCCTGAGAATGGCCTTTCGGTACCACCTTCTCGAGCAACACTGTATTCCAAAGGGGTTAAAACCTTTTTCCATTCTTCCGGTGTCACCTGTTGTGGATTCTGCTTTTCCAGTGCATCCATTGCACTTTTTCCTATAAATTTAACAGAATTTTTGAAGTATGAACGATGATAACCGGCTCTATGATTTGTCAAGGAGTTTATTAAATTATTAGGACGAGAAGATAATATTGAATTATAGATAAATATAGCAGAATGACCTATACTGAACAGCCGTTAACAACAGAATAACAAGAGGAAGTTAAAAAAAAACACCTTTAGAGCTAGCAGCCATGAAAGAGGGAGTTGATTTGAATAGTCCTGAAAAAAATAAACCACAACAAACGTGATATCAAACCAAAAGCCATTTTGCATTCTTCAATTCTCCTTCAATCCTTTACTCTTCGTTGTTACTAAATAAAATTTTCGTTCTTTAAACAAAACCAACACAACCACAATGTTTTGCTACTCCTTAGCAAATTAACTACGAGATGAAGAAACAAAAAACCTTATCAATAGCTTACCGATCACTCGTAACATACCTCTTCTTCTTTCATCAACGAGACCGTTATGACGACTGATATTCCTCCACTCAATTCTGATGCTTATTTAATACCACAGTGAGTGCTATCAATTGTAAATCATCTCAATTAGTCAACAAATTAATATTCATTAACAATGCCACAAAATCTTCATACCAAAAGTAATTCCCATTAACTACTCATCTAACTAGCTTCCTCCTAAATTACTCCACTTGACCCTGATTAACCTCAGTTACTTAATTGGTTCTCCTACAAATTGCTTCACTTTACTCTCATTAACCTCACCCACCTAATTAGTCATCTCATAAATTGTTTCACTGGCACTTTTGCAATGTGTTATTATTCATTTCCTTTAGAACTTAAAGAAACAAACTATTGCATAGATGTTGCATACTATAAGAGTTTTGTACGAGAGAGCTCGTGGCACGCTTCGGTCTCTTTAATTTGGCGTGTCGTGGTGGGAGCACTGCTGTGGGCTATTTTATTACTTGTCTTACTGAGCTTTTTTGCACTAATTACTTAGTTTTGCAACATTTGTAATTGTTGCATCTCAAAAACTCGCTAAAAGTTTACAAAAATGGCAGTAGTCTATACGCTTGCGTGATGATATTAAGGATGTGATATCACGTAGAAAGTTCATGACTGATATGAATGAATGACGGCAGCTTTGTTGGATGTTTTTATATTACAATCAGCACAAGAAAATTATTGCAGATTGTGTTATATATGGCTGATGAGAGCTTCCGATCACTGACGGCCAAAGAGATTCGTAAACATATTGAACGATGTAGTGAGGATAAACAGTCGCAACAGAAACAGAAGAAGTGAGATTTGTAGTCATGAACTGTCATGAAACTGTCAGAATGAAACTAAAACTGTTCATGAAACTTCTTTGTTCAAAAAAAGTCATGAAACTCGTTTGATTTGTTCAAAAATCTTTCTTTTAAATTCTATCTTTCGGGAAATAATAAGAAAGGAATGAAAAAAAAAAGGCTATAGACTGCAGTAACTGTATCGAGGACTCAATTAATATGTTTCCGATGCAGTAAAAGATCACAGACCATATGCAATCCTTACACAGATGCAGTTCACTTAATATGATCTTAATTTCTCTTAATAGTAGAAATTACTATTGAATTTTTTTTACTTTTTGCTTAATCGTGGGAAGAGTTGCCTTTAAAAGCAAATGGTTTTTTGCATTTATAATGTTGAGACTTAATATTTGCAGAAGAGCTGATAATGAGGATGACAAAATTAGGTCAGATGATACGGTAAGAAAGAAATGCCATGAGGATGAGCGATTTAACGACCGAAAATATGACCGAAAAAGAAGAGGAAGAAGTGTGGAGCGACACAGTGACAGTCGACATCGAATTGATAGACACTATGACCATGGAAGAGAGACAGATTCGGTGATTCAGGAACGAAGTTCTGGACCCGGCCATTCGAGAGAACGAAGTCGAGATCAATATTCAAGTAAGGAGGGGGAGGATCATCGTAGCCATTATCACAAAGAGGTATCTTTTGTTGCTATATTATAACATAATTCAAAGTTAGATTTAAATTGCTTTGCAAAGTAATTTGCAGTTTCAGTAAAATTACTTTGATCTGACGGTGACAAGATAGATTTATTGATTTTAGGATATTATCGTCCTGAATATTTTATACCCGTATTTTTTATTTCCTGATTACATGCTTAATTTTATGAAGAGTGAGCGGCGGAGCGCTACTCTCTTCTTGACCCTTTTAGAGCGACTCGAAGCAGCATAGAAGCAACAAGCCGTCGTACGAACGAAATCGAGCTGTGCGAAGAAGCCGTTCATCTCGACATTATAGGTATGTTGAAGGTTTTCTTGTTGGTTGAATCTGAAAATTTTCCTAAAATTATTTAACTTTTATGTGTTTCTAGGAGTTCTGGTAGCAACTGCCTGCATCGTATTGCTATATCGATGCAAATGATATTTTCGACTGGTTGCAATCCTCAACTTTTCGAAAAAATTTTTATGAAAGTTAGCAAAGAAATAATATAGAAAACTAATCATTCATTATCTCTTCAATGTCAATTTAGTTATTTCTCTATTTTAGCCCAGAAGGTAGTGAAGATGGAAGCAGTGATCGACCAGCTTGGGCAACAAAAGCTGTTATGAAAAGAGCAGAGGAAATACAAAAGAGGAAATTGATTTGGAGTAAACCGGAGGAAAAAAAGGTAACTCAGTTGTATAATGGTGATTGAGGAAGTGATGTTATACAGAAGGAAAAAATCAGTGTTGAAAACAATTCAAGTCTACCTAACGCCAATTTAGGAATTAGAAAGTAACACGGTTCCATCACTTATCGGTTTGAGACCGTCTACTACTTCTACATGGAATTCTATTCTGGCTGCAAGCTCATCAGATAGCAAGCAGTTGGACAAGTTTAAACGGTATGTTTGTTCAAGTTTCTCTAGAGGATTTGCATCGTAATCAAAACAGTTTTTCAATTTTATTTACTTTTTACTACCGATAAAATAAATTTAGATCTTTGATTTAAAAGCGTTGATAAATAAATGAAGTTTGAAGTCTGTAGCTCATCCGAATTATAGTTTAATGGGTATGAAAAAAAGTGACGGAGAGGGTCAGGAGGAAGTGCCGAAAGTGGATGATAATCAAGTTGAAGCTGAAAGAAGGCGGCAGCATGAACTTTACAGTCACTTAGATCATCAATATGCGGTAGCACGATCTTTCACGCATCTCAGTCGAGGTCAGGGGCTTGGTTTCCATCAATGATTTATTGTTTCTAGTCAGGAGCTATAGTCTCGAAGATTCTATTGTTCCAAAAAAATTTGTGCGAAATACTAAATCAATCTGAAAGTGCTTTTTGGCTTGAATCCTACAACAGTCAGTGATTCTAATGGTTATAATAGGGATCTTTGTTTTTGTAACATATGCGACATCATTGATATCATATGAACGTATATCATATGACCTTTACTTCGATATATTTTCAAATCTAATACTACTGTATATGGTAAGCAGTTTTATCACCCCTTTCCTAACTAATTTAGAAAGATTTTAGGCGTGTTAGTTCCGTTCTTCCAAAATTGTATATTATGTTGAGAGCTTTAAATATGTCCCATTGTCCATTCTGAAAGATGCGACTCCTTATTATTCCCTTATATCATATATTTGCTTGGTTACTATCTTCAAATGTTTTCTGATATAAAATGTTATAATATTCAGACACATGCAGAGAAACTTTGGACACATCTTTTTTTCTTGATCCCATTCCCTGATATTTTATATTGATTTCTTCCAATTATTTGGCTATTAAATGAATGTTTTTATTCGTACAGAATCATATAAATATTCTACTCAAAGTTCGGACTCAAAGACAGGATTATTTGAAGGAGATGTAAATTTGGAGCAGAAATCTTTTTGAATATTTAAAATTGATGCAAAGTGTCGATTCTGCCAAATGAGAGATAGTAATTGAAGCACGATGATAAATGCCAACGAGATCATAATGATATTTTGTCGGTAAACCATCCGTGCCTCCAGCGTGTTCACCAGTATTGCCTGAAAAATGATTCTTTTAATCGGAATTATAGACATAATGGCTCAGTGCATGTTCTGTGTATCAGTAATTCTTGTGAAGTTCAGTATTGCTTGAATAGCGGTGATGATTAAAAATACATTATTGTTTGAGAAAGTAATGAGAACAGCACTGTAAATGTCTGAACCAATGAACCGCTTTTTATCTTAGAATCTGATTAGTGAGCAATATGACGGAAATGTTTCAGAGCGGAGGGGAATACTTTTTCTATCCGAGATTTAGGCGAAGCAGTTCTGAAACTGAATAAAAAGCTTTTTTAACCTCCTATCTATTTAAAAGCTTCAAGAAGTCATTCTCATAGGAATTTGTTTTAAAAAACGGATAATAGGATATAATTTGAATTCTTTACTTGAAGGGGAGATATTCATCATTTCCAAAAATTCACGTCAATATTGTCAAAATTCGGGTATTGTACGAATGAAATTATTACTGTGCTAGCCCGGAGATTATTGTCGCTTCCCTTTGAGACTGAATTCATTAATTCTGCATTGAATGTTGTGTCGTTTTTAACAGATAATTGACATCGCAGCTTGTGCTCTATTTTTGCTTCTTCATTCGAATGTTTCCAGATATTTCCAAAATTTTCATTGCTTTCTCCGCTAGTTTCAACTGCCATGAGAAGTAATTTCTCACGTGGTACTGAATTTCGGAATTCTATAACATTTGCTTTTATTGAACTGATGTGGTTGTGCTAATTAACAGATAATTTCAGAATTTTTTCTTTCAATTTGTAATCTTCATAATTGTTATATTATTTAAAATGAGGGATGATTGAAGAAAAAGAAAGAGAAAGATTCTATAATGATGAAATAATGCACTTAGGTATGAATTTTTCATAACTCAAATATGTCGCAAAAAATTTCAAACTATTAATAACTGAAAGAAATTGGTACCATCCTGTAAGTAAACTCGGATGAATTCAGTAGCACCGGGAGCAATAATCCCAGTGCTTGGACGTACGCGGAATTTTTCCGGTGAAGTGATTTTGATTTTATATGCAACATTTTTAGCACTTTCGCTCTTCAAAACCACGACATCCGCCATATCGTTTTCACCATTTACGTGATCCATTGTTAACTCTTCACGTGGACTAAATTCCAGTGATTATTTAAAAAGTCAATTTAGATTTTATAAAAACGTGTGTATGGTGAAAAGGCACAAAGCGATAATTACTAGAACAGACACATCCAGAAGATGCATCTGCCAATGTGACTTCAAGTTAATCAATTCTTGTACGTGAATTAGGATTAAGATCGTATATATTGGTAAGCTTTTTTTCTAAAATAAATATCAACATAAAAATATAGTTGTTTTAAAATAAGCGAAAACTAACCAGATGGAGAGAAATTTGATCTTAGCATAATCTTTGGCTGGAGTATTTAAGCGTGCTTCAGCCAGAGGTCGTAAAGCTTGAGGCAAGCCATTCCGCTTAGTACTGGAAGGTACAGGCTGTAATGCGGAAGTTAACGAAGTGCAACGGCTTATGTCTTCTTCCTCAAATGTGACAGACTGCAAAAAGTGTTTCTTTCAGCTAATGATTGCATAATTTAAAGTGTCTATGGCTTGCTCTTCTGCTACCATAAAATAGGACGTAAAAGAAAAGTTTTTCCGGCATGAACTGCTCTTTCATTCTTTCATCTGGAAGATGATGGGAATGAGTTATGCAGTTGGGTTAATTGGGTTAAACATACCCGTTTAGGGCTCAAGTTACTGAAATATGCTGTACCATCACTGTCTGCAATATCGTTTTGTTGCTGACTGTAATTGATATGTTCAGTCGAAGGTGACTGTAATGGTATGCATCTAGCAAGTTCATCCATTGTGAACGTAAAATTGTCCTGAAATAATCGGTGTCGAGAAGAAACGGATATCGTTAAATGTTGAGTGATTGAAATTGTTTATTCCGTCATCGTTTAAATCTATCTAATTAGATTTTTTCGCAGATCAAACTCATATAAATTTAAATTTGACTCGTTTACAATCTCAATTACAATGTATTAAGAGTTTTAGATTATATTGTCGGAAATAAGTCACTTTTCATCAATCAATCAACACTTGTTAACAACTACAAACCCACATATTTATGATGCATCTGATTATACTTAACTTAATTAATAGATGCTATCAAAACTGTTGTTTTATCAATAGTTTCCCCTTCAGTAGCGACAGGAGTATAAGATCAAGCAATCATCAGGATGGATTATATATATATACATACATCAGAGTCGAAGAAAAACTCCGTTTAATCCCTCGTAAGTTATCTTTAATGCTTTGGCATCTCGACTTCGTGTTGCTTTAATCATAGCTACCGTTCGTAGAGAAATGAAATTGAAACTGGAGGAAGTTCGCAAGAGAAAAATTTATACATCCTACCTGTACATGTATCGCACATTTCAGCTCATTTCAAGGCTATTTGAATAGCTGGATAGAATGGAAAATTTAAAATGATTCGAGACAAAATAAACGTACGAGAATTTTTTGATGGAAATGTAAACAAAAAAGAAGTATCATTTTCAAATGCTCCAAAAAGTATAGTGAAATGTGAAATGAACAATCCAAGCGAAAGAAAGAAAGCTTTTTTTACGAGCAGCAATGTTTACTATAAAGCATAATGCACTGCTCCCTATGTCATTGATTTCTTTCTTACACATCGTTAAACTTCATTAATTTAAAGACTTCTTTCATTGAAAATTTAAAAAAGCTTTTTTTTGCAAAATATTAAAAAAAATTAAAAAGCTACTGATCCAAACTTCCAGACAACATAAAGTTCTCAAGAATTGCAATTTTCCAGCAATTATTAACAATTCATTCGCTACATTGTGAGACTATCTTTTTTATGAATAGCTGAAAATTTTTTCTTGACAATATGATTGCTAAGATTTAGAAAAAATTTTTGAACAGTATTTAAACAGTAACATGGCATAACATAAAACTATATGAATGGAAAATAGACTAAGTTAAAATTACTTAATACCGTAAATCACCTAATGATAACATCGTTTATAAAAATTTTATTGCATTTTTATTAGGACCGAAATGTAAGTTAAAACTGAAAATTCTCTTAATTTTATAAATTTAAAAAGTTATTTGATATTTTTCGTATCAAAATTGAGTGGAAAGAAACAAATAGCATTTTATTTCTTGACATTTAATTTTAGCAATCAGTTTTCAAAGGATAATTTAGTTTAACTCTAAGAAAATGATATGGCCAAGAATAGTTGCTATTAAATAATGACACAGCAAAATTGATAACTGTATTTAGAAAATGGAAAAGCTCTGTACTATTTAAAATATCTACACGTAAAAAATTCAACAAATACGAATTCCCAAAGATATGAAATGTCGAAATGAGTATCATCGTAACACACCACATTACAAAATCGCCATTAAAAGAAATTTAAATGGCGACAGATTAATTAATAATAATATTACAATCTCTATGTTATGACTTATTTCGCATTTAAAGCCTTGGACATTTCTCGAAAAAACTGATTTGGTAATAAATATATGATACAGAAATGATCTCAAAATATTATCAAAAAAAAGAACGGAATAACAAATTACGCCGCCTTCGAGATTTCCTGAACTGTCATAATTTAATAACTCATTACAGTTTTTAAATTCTTTAATGATGATTAAGATACGATCTGTAATATTAAATTATCATTTCATCTTTTATTGATACATATCCATAATTTTTTTTAAATTCTGATTGTATAAATTGAGAAAATTGTTATTACAGGTTTCTATTACGATAACAGTTTTATAACTGAATAATATTTTTTGGGAAATCATACCTCGCCACCATAACGTTTCGGAATAGATGGCAATGGTACATGCGCTGAAAGTGAAGAACGCTTAACATGTTGAAGAAGACGTTGTATTTCAGGTGACATCCACGTACGTAGCAGGATCCAGGATGCTTTCAAGAGTCCCGGACTTTCAAAAACTAGCAGTGATGTTAGACAACTTGGATAGTAATATTTGCATGAATGAATGATGAATTTAATCAAATCCAAATCCTATAAATTTTACTCATATACTGCACATAGGTAGAAAATATAAATAATATGTGTAATGCTAAGATAAATACTTTTATAATTTCCTAAAAATATATTTATTTTTCAATTATTTTGGTTTTCAAAATTTTTTGAATATAATAATTTTATTCATAAATAAATAATCTGATGAAAAATATTGGTTGCTGAACAATCACATGATTAACTGATAAATATATTGTTTGCGATTTATTTATATATGATATGATGCATTGTAAAGATAATATGTGTGTGGCATTGATGAGGAAGTATTACCATATTTTGTAAGCAGCACGATGACATGTCAAATAACAATGTAATCGGTGCTGCTTGCAATCCCATCGTATGACGTTCAAGCCAATAAATTATCAACTTATCACTGTTTTGTTGTCCGATAACATGTTGCCGCATATTTATCCAAACTTAAAAAAAGAAAAAATTTCAAATTTCATAAAGTATTTTCCATTTTGTCCCATTTTTATTTGCATTCAGCATCAATTGAGAATATCGTTATATGATATTGAACTATTTTCATTGCTTATCATGATATTATTATCACTCATTCATCATCTGTGATGAAAAATTAAGACAGATCTAAATTTGAATGTCACAATTAAAACTGACTTACGTATTGATGAGCCATTACAATCTTTGCCGTGTATGTAGGCTAAACCTTTATCTAATAATGGCTTTAGTTCCAACAAACTGATATCTGCAAATGATAAAGAAGTATCCGGAAATCCGGTTCAAATATTTGATAATGGTAAGTAAAAAATGATAAGAGATTTAAATTTATTTAAAAAATTGTGAAATTAATTTTCGATTATTCAAAAGATGACAAAAAGTTTTACTATCAACAGAGAAGGAGCGTCGCCATTTCAGACATTCAACAATCACGGCATACGTCACATCTATGTCATAATGATATGCAAGAAGAAATGACAATGGCCACCAGTCTTCCGCAAATATTCGATTCAAATCATTCCTGCCTACTTTGGCCTCATCGATAAACTGTATTAACAATTTCTATACTTATTTAATATTATTATGATTTGAAATAAAAATAAAATTTTAAGAATTGGATTATGTAACAAGTTGGCCTGATAATAGCTTTTGAGTCAAAAGACTTATTTCGGAAGTTATTAATGAATATTCTTCAATGAATTTTTTTTGTTAAAATAAATGAGTAACCTTCCGTAGACGTTTTCGTAAGGCTTGCAATACTTTATAGCATTCTTCGTCGGCCGTCACAGCCATTCAATATAACAACAATGGAGGATGTGCGATGGAACAGTGAAGTTCATGTTGTTATGTATGTGTGTGTATGTGTGTATGTCTGTGTATGTATGTCTGTGTATGTATGTCTGTGTATGTATGTCTGTGTATGTGTGTGTATGTGTATGTGTGTGTGTGTATGTGTGTGTGTATTCGTGTGTGTGCATTATGTGTGTGTGTACGTATGTCTACAAATTATTACCTTCGATATCTCACCTTTTTGTTTGCTTGTTTAAATTCGATTAAAATTTGATAAATTGCAAATAATCAAATGTTTATTTTGCAATGCAGTTTTTGACAGTATTTCATACTGAAAGCAAATTATTAATTTATTTAAAAATTAACCACAATGTGAAGTGTGTTTTAAAGAAGGAAAAAAAAGCAGCTTTTCAAACAAAAAAAA